AGTATCATATTAGACTGCAATGATTTAGTGGTAATTTTTAAGTTTGTGTAATCTTGTGCTAAGTTTACCTTGTCGACATTATTAGATATGCTGGACTGAGAAGGCGCCTTCTGGTTGATCCACATCCCAAAAAGGATGGGAGTAGTTCCCCTGATCTTTCCATAGACAATCCGCTGTCACAAAACCCAGGTACAATCTATGGATCCTCCAAAGTGCATATGTAAACTGTAGAAGCTCCAGAAGAACAGGGGCAAGCATGTTAACCAGCTATTTTGCTAATGCACACTCAATCCTAAAATTTTCTTGAGCTTGACTTTCCTATGTTGTTTTGTCTGCTGTGTTTTTTCACTTATTCATTATTAGCTTTCTAAATTTAGCTGCTTTGTTGAAGTGATCAAATTTGGAGGCCTGCACCATGGTTTGCCTCATTATTGCATATTTTTCAATGAAAGTAAACTGTACTTTCTAAAGGAAAAAAGCTTTCCCTTGTAGATGTGTCAAATGTGTTTACAGATTTTCCTGTATGCTACAATCTAAAACTACTAATGAATAACAGTCTCAGACTGTATTGTTATAACACCCAATCAAATCTGTGGGTGGCACAATAGTTCCTTATTGGTAATAAATTCAAGTTGACCTTTAAATATAAGAATGGAAAGTTAAATGGAGATTTTACTGTTGCAATATGTGCCTAAGTGAGGTTACCTACTCATTGAGTGATGCGGTTACTAATCTATGCCGTAAATCTTACATGCAGATAGCACATGGGGTCGTTTCTTTCGAAATGCTGAGCTGGAGAAAATGGTTGACCAGGACTTATCACGTTTATACCCAGAACATGGGAGCTACTTCCAAACACCAGGATGCCAAGGAATGTTGAGAAGAATTTTGTTATTGTGGTGTCTTAGACATCCAGAGTGTGGTTACAGACAAGGTACATGACATTGACAGTACACACATCAATTTTCTTTTTCCAAAAACCCTTGAATGTGTTTTTTGGAGAAGAGATTTAAATTGTCTTTCTTCTCTAAGTGACTAAGCTTGGCGTTTAGAACACACTGTCTCGCTGTGTGCGTGTGTGTGTGCGTGTGTGCGTGTGTGCGTGTGTGCTCGTAGTAGTAAGCACTACACAAGGTCCTGCACTACATTGCTTACATCAGGGTACAACCTGCTTGCTTGGTATACAGACTTGAATTACATGGATCCTGCAATCTCATGTTGTAATGCATGATTTAGTTATTATTGGACCATATTCTGATTACAAAAATCAAACACTACTGGTCTCCCCAAAATTACTAATACAGAGGTTTATTCATTTTTAAAATTTTCAGAATGATTTATAAGGAAAGATTCTTGATTATCAGGTAGTTAGCCAGTCATTTCTTCTCTTGAGTTTTGACTTCTGTGGCAGCAAGTAAACCATATTTGATATTATTCTTCAATTTCTTTGACCCTGACTTGCTGGGATATTTAACTTTCTTGCCCAATGTGATCAACAAGTTGCTAATCTTAGTGCCTGCTTGGTAATGTGTTCTGTTTTGCCTTTTTTTTTTTTTTGGTTTAATTGAAGAGAAGTAAGGGAGATGGAGGTGAGAAAGTGAAAGAAGAGAAGTGAAGAAATGAAGATGCAGAATAGATTGCATTAAAAGAAAATTTAAAACCATTGCTTTCAGTTTTTATATTATATTTAAAAAACAATTCAATGAATTATTTCTCCTCTCTCTCTCTCTCTCTTATCTCTGTCACCCCGTCTTTCCTTAATAAGATAGAAACAAAAAACAAAAAAACAAATGATCCCCTAGTTATTGAATGTTTTCTAGAAAGGTACATTCACACACATGATCCATGGAAGCTTCTTTTTACCTTCTAGAAGTTTAACTGTTTTTCTCTTTGTTTTTCATTGTAGGAATGCATGAACTCTTGGCTCCTCTATTATATGTTCTTCATTTTGATGTGGAGCATCTATCTCAAGTGCGAAATCTATATGAAGATCACTTCACTGATAAATTTGATGGTCTATCATTTCATGAAAATGATCTCACTTATAATTTTGAGTTCAAAAACTCTCCTGATTCCATGGAAAATGAGAATGGCTCACACGGAAATGCATTTAAACTTAAGAGTCTTGATGAGCTTGATCCTGAGATACAGACCATTGTAATGCTTAGTGATGCTTATGGTGCTGAAGGTGAATTGGGTATTATCTTGTCCGAGAAATTTATGGAACATGATGCGTACTGTATGTTTGATGCTCTAATGAGTGGGGCCCATGGTTCAGTTTCTATGGCAGAGTTCTTCTCTCCCTCCCCTGCTGTTGGATCCCATACTAGCTTACCTCCTGTCATTGAAGCATCCGCTGCGTTGTATTATTTGCTTTCTCTTGTTGATTCATCTCTACACAGCCACCTTGTTGAGCTTGGTGTTGAACCCCAGTATTTTGCACTCCGCTGGTTACGGGTTCTATTTGGACGTGAGTTTTCACTTGCAGATCTATTGATAATTTGGGATGAAATATTTGCATCTGATAATAGTAAATTAGACAAAGGTTCTGAAGATGATGCAGCATCCAGCTTTGGCATACTTAGTTCACCTCGAGGAGCATTTATATCAGCCATGGCAGTTTCAATGTTACTCTATTTGAGATCTTCCCTTCTTGCCACCGAGAATGCTACTTTATGTCTTCAGAGATTGTTAAATTCTCCTGAGAAAATAGACTTGAAGAAGCTGATACAAAAGGCGAAGTCTTTGCAGGATCTTGCTTTGAAGAACAATAGTTCATCCTTATTATTTTCATACATTGGGCCCTATGAACATAGTAAATCAATGGCTGTGAGAGGTCATAGCCTCTCAGTTGATTCTATTTCTCCAAAAACACCACTAAATCTGGTACCTGAAAGCTACTGGGAAGAGAAGTGGAGAGTTCTGCACAGGGAAGAAGAACTTAGGCAAGATGGTTTGGAAAAACAGGTTCCAAGCCAGAAAAAGCGATGGACAGAAAAAGTAAAATTGAGCCTATCTAGAACAGAATCCGACCCATGTCCATCAAAACCTGGGAATGGCAAAAAGAACCCCAGGTTTTCTGTTCGACGAAGGTTGCTGCAAGACCTTTCTCGAGAACTTAGCTCAGAGGAAGATGGTGAGAAATTGGGTTCTCACGAAGACGAACTCTCTTCAGAAGTTGAGGTCAACAAAGAAGATGGTTTCAGTAAGGACCCTACTTCTGCCACCGAGAACAGATGTTTGAATGAAAATCCGGCTAGTGAAGAAAATTCATCTGTTTTCTCAGACCCAACAAGTCCTCGTAGTGGGGCTAATGATCATGAACCAGAATCAGAGAAAAGTAGTGTTGGATCAAATTTGTCAGTTGATGAAAATTATGATAATTCACGGGATGCATCGGAAGACCCACCTCTTCCGGTTTCTGATCCTTCCGAAGGTGTCTCTCAAACATCTGAATGCAACAATCATTCAACAGGAAATTCAGTGACAGGAAAGGAACGAAAGCTTCTTTCTGGTAAATTCCCGAGGTTTTGGAAGTTTGGATGGAATGCACCTGGTGAAGGGACATCTGAGAAAGGACACAACGCCCTTGAGGCTACAAAATCTTCCAGTTGTGAAGGTAATCAGAACACAACAAGCTCTTCTGTGGCTGAGGGGTCCTGCAATTCTTTAGTTAGCTCCAAGGGAGAAGCTGTTGACCAGAATGTGATGGGTACTTTAAGAAATCTGGGGCACTCTATGCTTGAACATATTCAGGTAACGTTTCTTGTTTTGCTTTCTCTCAAGGGTATAAACTACAATTTGTTTTGTATCGTCAAAGTTAATGCTTCCTATAGGATGCAGAGCACTATAAAATTATATGTTCTAGGAAATGTGTAATGATTGTTAAAGAGGAAGAAATCCAACGAGAAATGGTAATAGTGTGGTATTGGCTAGGGGCAATAACCATGAATTGATTGCTATAACTGGGTACAAAATTCCTTGTGAGCATGGTGTTTCTTTTAAGTTGGTTCCGTGTGCAGTTTTAGGGGGCAAAAAAAGTTGCTCCCAACAACACTTCTTAAGCATGTCAGATTTTATGTCCGCATTGTTCTGACTCTTTAACCAACCATATCTGGCAGGTAATCGAGTCTGTTTTCCAGCAAGATCGGGGTCTTCAGGTTGGGCCATCGGAGAATTTTTCAAAAAACACTATAGTTGGCAAAGGACAAGTTACAGCCGTGACAGCTTTGAAGGAGCTTCGGAAGATCAGCAATCTTTTGTCAGAAATGTGAGGTGTGCGTTATTTATAGATACCTGTATATACATTTTGTAATTAATCTATTCATTTAGTGCCAAAATAAATCTAGTTTTATCCACATTTTTTCTCTTTTGGTAACCCGAGTTTCGGCAGTGGCAGAGACAGATGTGTAAATATGAGTTTCTGTAATAATCTTATGAATTTAAATGTATTATAAGGAGTGTAATTTCAGTGAATTTTGGCTACACACATTGGCTTCTCATCACACAGAGATATGGGTTAGTGGAGTGATTATATTTCACAAAATTAAAGGAATTATGGCAAAGCCAAAGAAAAAGGATAACGAAAAGAAGCAAACGTGTCTCTTTACTCCATCCTCAGAAAACCTAGAGGAGATGCAGAATCCGGGAAAAATTTATGCAAGAAATTGCGAGTTGAACTGTGGAGAAGTTGGTAACCAGAGCTTGCCAAAGATAGCGGAATTAAACTGTCTTTAAGCATAGTGGTGGAATTCTCGCATTTAATCAATAAGAGCATCTATTTGCAGCTTCTCTGTTTTTTGTTTTCCCTCATTTAATTTCGCAGCAGATTGATTTTTTCTGAGTTCGCTAGTTTGAAAAGCCTATTTTGGGATGCAAAATGGAGGAGAGGACTGGAAGAATATTTAGCTTTGGAATTCATTTGATTGTGTTTTAGGTTGACTTATTCCTAATAATTTTAATAACCGCGAAATGGAAGTGCGGAATTAGAAAAATCAATGTACAAAGAAAATACAAGAGAACCGGAAGGCAGCCGAAAGATTAAGCAACTGCAGACGTAATTCATACAATTTGGAAGGAGAGCTGAAAAGCACTCCCACCAATAAGAGAAGGAAAATTACAATATCTGTTACAAATACATCTACTTTCTTTAATATATATATCTATATAAAAGAAGAGTTGCCAGCTCCACAGTTTGTTCAACAGACTACTCCGCTGCATATGATCTACTACTCTATATTATGAAAACCTGGGAGAAGTGAAGTGATGAAGCCGAAAACGATCATCTGAATCTCTTTAACAATTCCCCACCAGCGGTTACCACCATTGGCTCCATCAGGTGCTGGCACATTCTCATTTTCAAGCGCCTGATTTCCATCATCTGCAGGCCGATTCTCATTCTCGGCTCCCGGCTGTCCATCTGCCACATATTTTTAACTGTTAGTAGAGAAGAAAATCATTTGTCATAAATTAACAGTGGAGCATGACATGGTCCATTGGCATTCAGTAACAAGAATACACAATGTCCCTGAGGCCCTTTACTCTAGCAATGTGTCCACCAATTATGTTACACAGACCGCACTGCACTATAGTTCTTTTTTACACCACTCCTAAGGAAAACTCCAGCATATCTCACCAAAAGAGTTCTATTTCAAGTAGTGCAGACAGTAACAATCAATAGTATTAGACATGTACAAATCACCTAATGACAATAGTCCCTACAAGAATTTTGCAACCTAAGTTCCGATAGCAGTCTTAGATAAATGAAACTAGATGTGAATTGGAATACGCGATATTTTTTTCCAAAAGACATGTGACACTCAGCACGTACAGACAGTAACAAACAAAATTACCTGCCAAAGCAGCATTGTCAACCCCCTGCCTTGCAGCAGGAGGAACATTTCCGGCCCTGGCTACAGGCCTTGGGGGATGAGGAGGCACAGCTGCCCTATGCATGCCTTGAGAGAGCCATCGTACTAATGGTGTGAGCGAGCCAGTTTGATATCTGCAATATCTAACGTCATCAAAATCCAGCTTTCATCTGTGAAACTTCACATATATTAATTTGGTAAAATTAAAGTCGACTACTGAAGAACCTAACTTTACTCTTCTTTATAAAAAAATCGCCAAATTCATCATATCTTACATTAATAATGAAACACCAGCATTGTCCTGATATTGAAAATGGTACTAAGTTTAGTTACTTACAAGTAGACAATTGAAGCGACAATCACAAGGACAACAAGCCTTTGTCTAGACCCTTCTTGATTGAATAGAAATATTACAGCTGCAAGCTTCACAATAAGCAACACATCAAGCTGAAATGCTATTTGAAATCTCCTCACAACCACTTGTCTCTGATGTGCAGGCTGTTGCTGTTGACGTTGCTGCTGTTGTTGTTGTTCTCCCTCTTGGCCTTGCTGCTCCCCTACAGTGCCAACCTCTGGACTTGCTCTAGTTCTGTGGCATCAATACATTCATGCTTAATGATGATTACGATTGTTAAGAATAAACAATTTCAGATAAGGAAATTATGTCACAATGGAAGAAACTTAAGAGCACCATTGAGATACTTACGTGGGTATGTTGTAGGTAAGCGGAATCAGAGTGTTAGATGAAACTCCTGTAACTGGCCCCATAAATGGGTGAACAGGAACAGCATATATGCCTGCTCCACGGTTCATCTGCTCCTGATCTTGTAAAGGATTTAACCCAGGAACAAGAAGTGGGTACATGATTGGTAACATCTGAAAATCACCATTTGGGAAAGATGGAAGCCCAGAGAGTGGTGGAACCTGAAAAAGAAGTCATAAAGTGAATTAGAAAAGGAACCAGAACCACCAAATTAATGCAAGATATGCACATAGTATTGCTTTAAACTACGATTAAAACATTCACCAGCTTTAGTCTGCATTACTTTCTTTTCATCAGGAAGCTTCCACATACCGTTACTATACAATTGCCTCAATATTTCTCAAAAAACAATTTTATTAAGCATATGAAGTAGTGGCACAAACTCTTCCACAGCACAGGCATAACCAGTAGGATAATCTAGAAAACATGCTCGCTACTCTGTACTCTCTTTACACATTATTACTGTTTATGCATTTCCACCCCTATTGATAAAAAGAAACAGTATGTTTTTAATAGTAACTGATACTACAAACAGAGTTATAGCTTCAATAAGGTGAGGAAAGCATTCTTTTCAAATAAAAAGGAGGCAAAAGGATGAGATGGCAGCTTAAACAAACCCTGTCATCTAGATAAATGGTGGCCCTACATCCATTAACCATACTATTGATATGGAATACAAAATAAATTTTAGTGGTAGTGATATTCTCATCATGATGTTTTCTTTTTTATAGCAGTACAAATTATAGTTGTCTTACTATATGTTTATACACTTGTTTATGCTTCCACTTGACTATGAATTATGCTCCATACTAGGCTTTCAACTGCAAACAAATGATGCTATCAGGCAATGTGGATCATCGTTCCACCATCACTCCATTCTTTAAAATACTATATTAGCTTTCGATATAAAGAACTTTTGAAATTCAATGGTTTAATGTTCCGAAAAATAAAACATAAAGTTTGTGCCATTTCTCTTGAGCCTACGTGTAACTACTCAACAACTAAAGGAAAGGACACTTTTTTCGTCTTCAAAGAATCAGAGCTCCGTTGTTCATGCAAGCCAGAAATAAGGTTAAAATGAAAGTAGATACAAGCCAACTTTGACATGCACGAGTTGCAAACACATATAATCAACAATTGGAAACTACAAATAGAGTCTCCAGAGTACATGGCTGAGTAAAGGCGAAGAAATTATTTCAACTACTGAACAGGTCCATAATAAAAGATGCATTATGTGCAACAAAATTCTAAATAAAAAAAGGATTCAGGAAAACTCCGAGAGCAGTACTTCCAATTCCTCTATGTACAGGAACATGTAAAATCCTTGTATTTAGAACATAACAAATGAACAAAAAAAACGATGGAATATTCTAATGTTTTCATAATCAGATAGAACCCAGAATTTTATATATTAAACATGCCCCCACCCGTCCCCAAGAACCATACTTTTGTAATGTCCTAACTACCCAAAGAAATGCAAATTCAAGCAATTTGTCAACATTTGGCCCCAAAAAAATAAATAATAAAAAATTGCCTATAACATCCCTATTTGGGAACCCAATTTTTCTCAATCCTTAAAGACCTATGCAGCGATTTCGATACATACGCACAAGAACACTACACAAGCTCTGCGTGTTTCTATATACACCGAATAAACAGCGTAAATTAGCAAAGAATTCATGTAAGAGAATTGCAAATTTGCAATATGCTAAGAAATCAAAGGCCGAGATTGAATTGAAGCTTAAAAACATCAATTTGTATGCTTTTTCTTTTTAAGGAAACATAAGTAACCCTAGGATTGAAAATTGTTTGTAACATTAGGAAACTCGGATTGGGAAATGAGAACCTGAGGTTTCTGGAGAATTTCTTCGGGCGATTTAGGTGTAGAAGAAGGTTGCGAGCTGGACGACCACGTTTTGGGTTCTTCGGCCATTTATAAAGTCTGATCTGCCTCTTCTCTCTGTGTTTCTGTGTCTCTGTGTCTCTCTCTCTCTCTGCTCTCTTTATAATAAAACCCTGACGAGAGTGGGATTTGTATGAATAAGAAAATGTGCTTATTACGTGGAGTTTTTGTAAGTTCACCAATAAGGTTGTGCCAAGTCAGCCATGATATAAGTTGGGAACTACGAATCTTCATTGTGAGTAAATAGACCAACTTTTTTCTCTATTCTTTTGCATATATTTATTAGTGATATTTCTCTTTAGAGTTCTTAAATTCAAATCACATCTATACTGTTAATTAAAAAAAGAATTTATGAGTGTGAAAGTAAAAAGAGTAATGTTAGGCATACCACATTTTCATATCATCGGAGCATTTTTGTTCATCACTTTAACTTAAGGTGTACCCTCACCATCCTTCTCAACATTTGACACGTGTCTATTGACATAACCATGACGGCATAAATACAAAGTAAAGAGTTAACTATAGTTATGTTAAGAGACACGTGTCAAGTATTGAGAAGGATGATGAAGGTACACCTTGGGTTAAAGTGATGAGCAAAAATATACCATTCATACCACCTTATGCACTTTTATTAGAGAGGTGGGGTATGACTGCATTTTTTAAGTAAAAAAATTACTTCTCAAAAAACCTATCCACTAGCACCCTGAATTTGGAGAAGTTGAGCTTTAATCAAGCAACATGTCTTTTCATTCTCTCTGTATGATCACAGATGAATGAGAATATGTGATTAGCGGGACTTGAGAGCTAAGGCATACCAATGCAAAACATGTATATATGGCCATGAACAAACACAAACATGATCAACTCGAATGTTTATAAAAGGTCAATTAACACACCAACTCAAGTGGAGAAAAGAGGTATGCCATTATGCTATATATTCTATTACAATTTTTTTTTTTAAAAAATTTGGTCGAATTCTGAACTCATTAAATAAATCCAGAGGAAACAAATTACAAACAAAGCCAAAAGCTCAAAAGTAGGACACAAAAAATTGAGTTGAAGCAGTTAGACCTCAAAGATGAGGCTAGAACTAAGCTTTTCACCCAGAGGAGTTCAAACAAAAACAACAATAAAAAAATATAAAACAACGTAAAACAAGGAAATGAGAAATGCCACAACACCCATAGCTAATCAACAACGCCCCCAACACAAGACCATTACTACCGGAGAAGAAACTGTAGCAAAAAATACCAAAGGAAAATAGTGGTGGATACGTGTTGTGTGGATTTCAGCTGCACCAAAATGGATTCAGTTGCATCCTCAACTTGTGATACTCGCAAGTGCACGAGCCGTTTGGTAGTATAGCATATGTAAGTGCGAGGTCGATCCCACGAGGATTGGTGATTGAATGATCCAATTCATTTTTCCTACACAAAACAGAAATGAAAAAGAAAGGAAATAAATAAAACAAGGAAGAAAGAAATAACTAACTCAAGCAGATAAGTTCCCAAGTTCAATTAGATTAATGGATTGATTCTAGCTAAAGTATGATTAAGCCATGGTGTTTGGTCATAACCTTGTGTTCTTAATTCCCTAATTTGATCATTTGTTGTCTAACCTAAAATTAAGCATTAGGAACCCATTAAGCATAGAAGAACAATTTAAACAACCAAGCATGTATCTAATCCCTGTTGTCGAATGTCCATACATACTCTTC